GCAGTAGCTGTGCAGCAGTAGCACAGCTACTGCTCTCCGCAGCTATTCAACTGCTCTGAAGATGGAGGCGCTACATTCCTCCGAAACGTCGGCCAAAACGAAGAATACACGGTGCCTAAACCCAGAAGACAACTTTCTTCATTGTCATCGCCGTGAAAACCTCAAAACTTACACAAATGTATTATTTATTTACCTATTTAAGGATGTTTTAAGCAATTTGGACTGTGTGATGTGAAATGGTAGGAGGGTTGAATAATGAATTGTTAAGGATTTGGAAAGAAATAGTTTTGTAATTTTTGGTGCTGTCCTGGCATTTGACTGGAGGGACTGAGGAAAACCATAAAAATCTACATCATGGTCGTGGTGTCTGGGTCAAGATTCGAATCTGCTGAATCCAGTCGAATGCTGTTGACTTGACTGATGTAAATGTATTATTTATAAATATTTGATCTGATAATACCCTCCCAATTGATTATACTCTTAGCTGCTTCATGAGTTCACACAAACAATGAATGGCTTCAACCGGATGCACAAGGGAGGACTTAAGCAACAGATGGATATAGTGGGAGCAACTTTTATCTCCCCTGCAAATGTGAAAATTCCGGATTTTGTAGACTGGCGTGAGCAGGGTGCTGTTACGCCAGTCAAAGATCAGGGGCAGTGCGGCTCATGCTGGTCCTTCAGTGCTGTAAGTAACATCTTCAGCAGAAATATGGCACTTACTGATAATACTTTTGTTTATTATAATTGTACTGAGTTCAACATAATTTCTGTAAATGTCAACAAAACGTTCAACATTGCATTGAGACCTTATAATCTAGACTCTGCAGCTTTTCTTGAGCCATGTTGAATTTGTTAGAAAGTGGCAAGTAATTTCTATGTTTCCTCATTAAGGTGGCAGAATAGGGATAGATCCCAGTTGGTATGGGGAATGGCCAGGGTTTAATTCCCAGCTGTGCAAGATTTTTCTCTTCTCCACAGTGTCTAGAACTGACTCTAGGGCCTGACCAGACTCCTGTCCCTGGGTGTAAAGCAGAAGAGCTTGAAGCTTACCACTGACCTCATCTAGCGCTGAGGTCAAGAAAGGTGGAGCTATAGTTTCACTCCCCCTTATGTCTTTTTTGGCATAGTTCTTAACTACAATAGATCACTGTGGTCGCGGTGCAAGGGCCAAGAAGGCCCACCCCTTATACATTCATACAATTAAGCACAGGGACAGGTTTACTTTTTACATAGCAAGTTGCAGTCCTAGTGGTGAGGGCTTTGTATCATTTGGCATTTCCTTCTTGCATATATGTCTCCAGTTCAGCATGCTAATGCTTATCATTGGTTACAAACTGATATCACCACTGTGCAAAATGTTATATTTATTTATTTCATCTTTATATATCATTGTTACATGATATAGGCAAGTCAATTACTGTACATTGGCGGATTACAGTTGAGTTCGTATAGTGTGAGGTGGAATCCATATTAGGTTTCCTCGGCACGTCGGCCTCCATATGTCATATTGTACCTGTGCCGTGATTATGCTTATGGAGAATTTGACGGAATGACGATTGGCAGGGGAAACTGAAGTACTCAGAGATATGAGTATGTGGTTACTGCCTATGTTATCTGCTCTGGTTCAAGTAGATAAAACCTTGAAGGAGGTGTGTGTATTTGTATGTATCACGATAATGAAATTTCATATTTGGCATCTGGACTAATAGTTATGATGGGGATTCTCCCCCTCCCTTGTCATTCTGGTCCTATTATAAACATTAAACTTCAACTTCATCAGGTTTCTTCAAAGTAGTTCATTGTAAGAAAAAAAATCTGTCTTTATCACAGCCCTTAATTTTATTAGAGGTGTTTTGTGTATGCATGCATAAGTGTTACATCTGTACCTCTTAGGGTTATTAGCATTTCCAAAGTAGATTTCTATCTGAAGTAAATGAACCTCAAGAGTTATAAAAAATGTGAACTTGTATGGGAACTTGGTACTCCATCTGTCTTTGTTTGTATTAAAAACGTAAACAAAACATATCACAGTTTGTATATGTAATATTCATCAGAAAATAATCTGCCACAATGTAAGCCAGTGCAAGCAGAAAGGATATGAACAAGTGGGTCCAACATCAAAGGCCTCCTTAGGATTGAAGTGTTTTAATAGCCAGCTGTAAAACAAACTAATATGGCCCATGAAGAGTTGTTCTCTGGGTTTCAAGATGACTGCTCTGAGAATATTTTTGTTTGTGTAGTCATTGTAACCTGTACAATTTATTCTTGGGAAAACAATATTCAGCACAGTTCAGAGAAATATTAGATATTGATTAATGTAAGTCGATAGGATATTGGTGGGAAAGCCAGAAGGAAAGAGACCACAGGGAAGACCAAGGCGTAGGTCGGTGGACAATATTAGAATGGATCTTAGAGAGATAGGATGGGATTGTATGTATTGGATAGATCTGGCTCAGGATAGCCATGGTGATGAACCTTCGGGTACCATAAAATGCTGGGAAATTCTTGAGTAGCTGCAGAATTGGCGCCTCCTCCAGGAGGGCTCAGCTCCATGAGTAAGTAAGTAAGTTGTGACAGACACATTGTGGCCTGCTGACACGTGTTCTGTGAAATAAACATGTTCATTTTCCAGACCGGTTCTCTTGAAGGCCAACACTTCAGAAAGTCTGGCGTGCTGGTTTCTCTAAGCGAACAGAACCTAATAGACTGCTCTGGAAAATATGGCAATGAAGGTTGTAATGGAGGTTTAATGGACAACGCCTTCCAGTATGTGCGAGACAACAGAGGAATTGACACCGAGGTTTCTTATCCATATGAAGCTGAGGTTAGTGTGATTATAAAAGTATGTAGTGCTGTAGACAGTGAGAAGTGGGTATTAGTTCTGCAGTTTATTAAGTTTTAAACTTATTGTGAAAAGAGAAAACTGTAATGATTTTTTTCAGGATGACAAATGCAGATATAATCCTAGTGCTTCTGGAGCAACTGACGTTGGTTTCACAGATATTGAAGAAGGCAATGAAGACCAACTGAAAGAAGCTGTGGCTACCATTGGGCCTGTTTCTGTTGCTATTGATGCAAGTCATGAATCATTCCGGTTCTACAGGCGAGGTGTGTATGTTGTCATGCCAAGAGATGAATAGTTCTCACTGCATTTTCAAAGTCGTAAAACTGCTTCTGTTAGCTCTCCCCTATATGTCTGTACACATGTAACCACTTTGGAACCACTGCAAGGATTTTCATGAAATTTGATGCCAGGGAGGTCTAATGAATTCTGTTGGCACAGTCTTATTTCACATAAAGTTAGATGGTAATAACAGAAACTCCATGTGAAAACCTACAAATTTTTCTGTGTTCATCTTTAGTGTAACTTGTAGATAACTACCTATGTTATAATCACAGCAAAATATGCTTCAAACTAAAGTTACAAAGCAAAATGAAAGACATTTTATTCTCAATACCCTTTTAATTTTTAAGTCCTGTGGTTTCTGAGATAATTAAACATGGGGGAGCATATGCACCAGACCAATAGAATTTTTTCAGTTTGAATGTTTATCTGTATTAATGAGTAGTAATAAAATAAGTACATAGCAACCCAACAAAGTTTCAGATTATGGAGATGAAATTTGCGTAATAATTATTGCCACTTCAGTACACAATATGGCAAACCATCTTATCTTTTTAAGATACTGTTAAGAAAAAGGTAAAGCTATCCCTATATTGCTAGTGGGGTGGGACTAAGTCCCTTGTACTGCGGCCACTTCTGGCCTATTGTACCAGCCCCAGATGATAGGTGAGGGTGATTGTGGAGCAGTTGGTGGAATGAAGATTGGCAAGGGAAACCAAAGTACTTGGAGAAGACCTGCCCCAGTGCCACTTTGTCCACCACAAATCCCACTTGACCAGACCTGGGATCGAACCTGGGAAGCCAGCGACTATCTGCTTGAGCTATGGCACGGCCCAAGCTATCCCTGTAACAGGCCATGGAGGCAAGAAAGGTCATGAGATATCGAGGCATCCCCATTATCTAGACAGTCGGTTCACAGACAACAGTGAGATTGTCAGCCCTTTGCGCTGGCCGCTCTTTACCTCCCAGGAATATTCCTGGTACTCATTTCTGTTAGACTAAGGCAACCTCAAAGCCTTAGTGCGGTTGGAAGGATTAGGTCAATTGAAAAATCCAGTGACAAGGGGTTTTGTAGCTGTGACCCTTTGGCTTGTACCATAGTTCCTCAACCAAATATGCTACTGTGTTATTTCTAAACCATTCCAATTTTGCACTATAATCATTAAGAAAGTCTTGATTAGATTTATATTCTGTAGGACACTGTACAGAATATAAATTTAGTTGAGAATTTCTTAATGATTATAGTGCAGAACTGGCCAAATGTGAGTGGTTTAGAAGTAAGTACTAGTAGATGCAGTTGATGAGAACATGAAGTTATTATTGAGAAGTGCATGGAACAAGTTTGATGAGCAAGAACTGAATGTTGTGTGTACATATTGTACGCTTACTTTTAAACTGAAAATTTGTGCCAGGTATTGAACTTTGGCTGCTGTTACTGCTCTGATGCAACTTGACTTCATGTCATGTCTTATTCTGCTGGTGTTTCACAGAAATTCACTAGAGAATTTCAATTTTTCACATCTGATTTCCAGATAACTTGGAATTAGTACCTGTTATATGTCTAAATGTTATGTGTCTCCCTCCTTAGGTGTTTATTATGAGCCAGAGTGCAACAGCACAGCCCTTGACCATGGTGTTCTTGTGGTTGGTTATGGCACAGATCAGACTACAGGTGATGACTACTGGTTGGTTAAAAATTCCTGGGGTACAAGTTGGGGTGATGAAGGCTATGTGAAGATGGCCCGCAACCGTGACAACCACTGCGGTATTGCTAGTCAAGCGAGCTATCCATTAGTTTGATAACTGTATCAAGGGACAAAATTGTTGAAATATTGAGACAAGAAAAAGAGTGAGTTGTTTTTCAGTTTTGAAATTTAGAGAGCTTTGGGAGGGGAGTTGTTGAAGTTTCATAATATTGTAATGGCTGCAGTTCACTTACTGTACTGTAAGGTCTCATGTTCTGAGAAAATTTTCTTTAAAAGAAATCCCAATTTTTACTACAAGTTTACTGGTAAGAATATTTTATAACAAACCCTACTGGAGTATTCATACAGATTTTTAATTGCTGCATTATTACTTGCAGTTGATCTTGCTTTTGATAAATTTCTTTCATATGTATACTCTAGGTTGTTTTAGGACAGTTACATGATTTTGTATGATGATACTGAGAGGTCATTCCTTATTTGACAGCTGATTACTTTGAATGTATTATTGTTTATAAATTCTGCAGAATGTGACTTAAGGAAAACTTTTGAATTAGTAAGGTTTATTTTGGACTCTGTCTATCATCTGGTATATATAAGACAAAAAACCACAACGTTGCGGAGACTGGATCTGTCTCCATCCTCAGGTGGATGGCGCAAGATAGATGTACTCAGTGATTGAGACTAGCTCTTTCTAACGGGCCTAACTGAGTAGGTCTATCTTGCCCCATCCACCTGAGGACGGAGACAGATGCACTCTCCGAAATGCGTTTTTTTGTCTTATATATATACCAGACAATGGATAGAGTCCAAAATAAACCTTATAGTTCTGTAGAGCATACACCATCGTCAGAATCCTTTAAAGTCTATTTCTGAATTAGTGTTACCCTCCTTTGAAATTTGCATCTAAGATGTAAATTGTGATATAAGTGTGAGATATGATGTACTCTCTTTTGATGGTATTGATTTTCTATGATAAAAACTTTTTCTTTATAAAATTTTGTTGTTTTGAAATGAAATGTGTGCCAGTAGAATACCAGTTTTCAGTAATTTGTCTTTCCTTTGAGTGCCGATGAAATCCCTNTATATTGTTTTCAAGACCAAGATCATCTGTGTCAAGGAAATTAATCTCTCATCAGACAGCCCTGTCACAAGTAAATTTACACACATCCAGTATGCCTGTGTCCAAGCGCTAGAACTTAAAAAAAATGCATTTTGCAGCCACGAAGAAGCATTGGATTTCTTGAAATAGACATCATTTTAAAGTTTGCTATGAGATTTTAGAACACAGGCTATTTGCTTACCATGTTACAGTCCACAACTGAGAAAACCACACTTTCTGCGAGTGACTATAGTTCGTTTTCATGATTGCATTTCAAGGGAAGATTAGAGGAGGGGGAATAGGTTCTTTTGGTATTTTCAAACTATGTTGCCACCACACAGCTGAGTCAAGTTATGTTTGAGCATTATGCAATGAATGTATTCAGTTGCATACTAGTGTCTGATGGGTTTGTCTTAATGGAACAAAATTTATAAAGGTATTGGTATTAGGAAAACTGCCCTTCCTGTGCCCAGTAGGAATTTAAATTGAATACTGGAATGATTTGCATGGAGTTGTAAGTTAAATAGTTATTAAACGGCTACATGAATCAACCCATTGACATGATACCATGAACCCATCCTTATTATGCTGTTATACTTTCTCACCCCGGTGAAATAGCAGGTAATGTGAAAGGCACAAATGACTTTCGCTAATTTCGATGATGACAGCAACAATAATAATCTAAAAGCAAACCAACTATGTGTGCTTACTACTACATCCAACTGGCATGATGCCCAACATGCATGACTCGGACTTCTTTGCTATACGCAATCAATGACCGAGCACTATTTTTCACATTCTACACAGCTTGCAACACATAAGGCAAATATGTACTTTGTTTTTGACTCTATGATGGAAACCATATGCTGTAAGTGGTATAACTGCGTGCCGCAATTCCAAATTAAACTGAGTCGGATTCCAGTAGATCATGGTATCTTTGGCATAGAAATTCTCTCATATGCTAGCCTCCTGCTTATGCTTTTGCACTACCCTGCTGCCATAATGATGTATGAATGTATCGATATTGACCAGTCACATTGTAATAGTAGTTTCCACTAGTACTGACATGTCCTGAAGATGGTCTCTCAGACTGAAACGTGAAGGATGAAAAATTAAAAAGGAGAAAAAAAAATATAAGTCACACTGGATGGAGTTGATAACCTTTTATAAAGAAAGATACCCCCCCCCCCAAAAAAAAACTACAAACAGGTTCGGATCACACAGAGAACAAACTCCACAGCATCAACAAAAACCCAGGTTTGGATCATGCAGAGAACAAATTCCACAGCATCAACAAGAACATGAGTACATCACCGGAATTCATAAAACGATAATGATGAACAATAATAGAAACAAATTAAGATATATTATATTTTAGCATTCCGTTGCATTGAGGCATCATCCTTATTATCAAACTATCCATCAATAATGCAACTATTCAAAAGACAGTAGGAATATGTTTCACGCTAAAAATGTAGTTCGACACTTTTTGATATTGTTAAAATCATTACATGTCAATAGGGCATTAAAAGTGCATTCTGTGCATTAAGAGTGATTATCCAATTTTCTAAAATGTCTTCAGTCATATATTTGTTATAGTTTTCGACATGTTTCGGCCACATGGGCCCTCATCAGGTAATTTCACTTCTTTTGGCGAGACCACTTCACTGTGTGCATGTTCACTGTCCTTCCATGCACGTCAATATTTGAAAATGCCATTGTCGTATTCTGTTGCGGCTGTTGTAGTTTTGTGTGTCGAATGTATCACTAGTGCAGTGTACCTGTGCATCTGCATGGCTAGTGAAAATATTACAGAGGAATAGCTGTTACCAAGTAAGAATTGGCAAAGGCAGGCTGAGAACACTTTGTGTGGAAATCAGCAGTAATATTATACTTACTTGTAGTTAAGTGTGTAAGTGCAATAAATCCAATCCAAACCTCGAAACCCTGTCTAATAGTCACACAACCCAAACTTTCTGTGTTGTCTGTGAGGGGCCTATATAACGAAGACCTGTTGTAGTTTGGATTAGTGTCTTCTCCTCTTAGAGGATGTTTCATAAGAACTATTACCGCAAGAGTTCAGTTGGAAAAATCTCTGGTCGTGGGCCTCAGGGGGCCTGACATGAAGATGAAGTGACTGGTGGTAAACCACCAGTTGAAAAGTAACTTCGAATTTGACTTTGACTTAGACTTAGTGAGAGGTCCAGAAGAGTTTTTAGTTCAGTTCCGAGGTTCCAGGGTGATTGAATAAGAAGTGGCAAGAAGACTTCATGGTGGTTTGAAGTGCTATTTTCTGTGTTGAGATACATTGCCAGGAGATGACTCGTGAAGACAGACAGTCATTGTGCGCGTGCAGTGGTGAAATGGAAAATGTAACTCAGCGATGGCGTTGTATTTAAGTGTGATTAAGAGAACTTGTAACCAAGGTGCTAATAAATCCTGTCATCCAAACTGGAACCCGCTATTTTCATCACGTGTATCACCTACACGTGACACTATTTTAGGAGTACAACTGTAATACAGTGCGTTCAGTTAAGGAGGAAACTTCGCAACACCGCTGATCCGGCCCAACATTCCTCACAGATTGCTGCTGTAACTGCTGATAGCAGAATGAGTCTTTAGTGCTGATAAATGCGTGCTGTTTCAGTTACAGTTACAGCAGCAATCTGTGAGGAATATTGGGTCCGGTCAGCAGTGTTGCAAAGTTTCTTCCTTGATTGATGCCCAGCATATTGTTACGTAATACTGAATGCGTCCTCTCGACGGGGTTTGGATTGTAGATTGGATTTATTGACCACTTTAACACAAAACTCATACGTACATTTAATTATAGCGCCATCGCTGATTTCCACACACTACAGCTGTTTTCACTAGTAATTGCGTGGTAACGCCTTCTAACAATGGCTAGTCCTCTGCTGAAGTCCACTCTGAACGTTGGTTCCCTCCCGATTGTCTTTCTTCACAAACCCCTGTATGGAACTGACTCAGTTGCCGCAAACGTCTTCCTTATAAACGCTTTGCACAGACTGAGTTGAAAACACTGTTTCCAACAGTATTTCTATTATTACGTACGTACCTGTTGGCGCGGGAAAATTTGTAATGAAGCATTGCCTAGAAACAGCTCTGGTAACTTTACTTATCTCTTGGTTGATGCATGGTAACGTCTCTACACGCTACAATATAGAACAACATTGATGAGGCTGTAAACAGTGGACAATTTCGTTGTAAATTTTATGCAGAATCCGGAAATTTTTCTATCACGAAGATGTAAACCTTCTGAAATATAATGTTGTGTAGTCCACTGAAAGCCAACCGATGCTTCGGAGGAACATGTCTCCTTCATCTTCAGAGTATAAGTGTAAGAAAATTAAGGAACTAGCATGAAGCAGGTAGCAAGCAAATATACCGTGGGCACATGATAGCGTAGTTGTTGGAGGCACTATGCTACAAGGTGGAAGGTCGCGGGTTCGATTCCAAATGAAGTCATTGGATTTCTGAGTTGATCTAATCCTGCAAGCCGCAGTATGGCCCTGGATTCGACTCACCCTCTAACAGAAATGAGTACCATGAATCTTACTTGGGGTAAAGGGCAGCCAGCATGTAAAATTGGTAACCTCATCACCATCTGTGAGCTGATTGTCTAGAAAATGTGGGCCAGATCATTGAAGGTCGCAGTGCAAGGGTCGGATTTTATGGACCACCCTTACACATACATGTACTACTACTACTACCACCACCACCACCACCAGAAACTGTGTGAGCCTCGACGTCTCACAACACAGTGGGCCTCCATGGACTGTTACAGGGATAACATTGATTTTTGCCAGGTATAGTGGAGTGCTCATTTAACTCTGCAGCTACCAAATTCACTTCAATGTGAGTCATGTAACCATATAAGCTAATTGTGATAAATATGATATATAAGAAAAGGAGAATGGAAGGAGATACCCTTCCCTATAAATAAGTTTTAGATACCCCCTTTACATTTCTTTAGATATGGATAGTGCAGCCAGTATAGCAACTGGCTACAAGGAGTCAGGGTTCGAATCTCTGTGGGGGCAAGAATTTTCACTTCTCCATGTCGTCCTGACCGACTTTGAGGCCTACCCAGCTTCCTATCCAATGGATACCGGGGATTCTTTTCCCAGGGGTAAAGCGACTGAAGCGTGAAGCTGACCACTCACTTCCAACTGCTGCGGAGGTCAAGAAAATGTGGGTCTCTACATCCATTCCCCCTAAAATGCATAGTGCTTAATTAGTTAAGCACAGGGACAACTTTACCTTTTTTAATAATTCATTCATTTTTTAGTAATTTTCTTGTAATGAAATTACCTCAATAAGACTAGAGAGGTGAAGTGAGAGAAATTTAATATTAGTGTAGCTTGCTAGATCCTGGAGGCTGGAGAAGACCACAAGGGACAAGGGGTCCACGCGATTGGACTGAACCAGGCGAGTGGGAGTGGGATGGCACAGCGTAACTTCGATACGTACTCACCACACGAAGACGAAGCCATGGCACTCTTTCTGAACAT